AAACCTGGACTGGAAGAAATTAGACATCGATTTTGCTTCAATTGTAGCTGACGAGATAATTAGGCGCAAATCAGGGCGCCGCCGTTGGATCTAGAATTATATTCAGTCAAAGATCAGCAACACAAACCACAAGAAAAAAAATTGCAAAAACTTTCTAATTTTTATAACGATCACCTTCTTGCTCGTGAAAATTATACCTTTTTCAGGAGGCCTAGTAAAATATCAGTTGAAATAGACCTTTCATGAGCCTCATCAACCATAATGACACTGTGGGCCCAGATAAGAAGGAAGTAAATTACAGATATTGCAATCCTTTAAAAAAAGAGTAAAATAAAGTAGCAAAAAGCATGACACTATTATATATTTCCACCCAAGCCTCAGTGTTGCTTATCAAACAACAGGTACATAAAAATCTAGAAAGTCAGAAGTTTCTTTTATTTTTCCTTGTAGAAAAAGAATATTAAGAAAGGAAGAAAGAAGAGAGTTTAAAATATATATACATTTATAAAAAAAAAAGATAAGAATCCTCACAAAAAGAAAAAAATAAGAAAACAACAAAATAAGAAGGTTAACTAATCTTGGACAAAAAAGTGAAGCAATCTCAACGTAAAGAAGACAAAGATAAATCTTTTAAGTGCTCATGTGCCTTAAATCAGGGAAGCTAAGAAAGACATCTTGAGATCATAAATGATGAAGCGTAGTATTATTGCATTTTTTTTCCAAGCCAAATCACTCATAACTTACCAAAAAAAAAAGGCACTACACCAATGAGCTTTAATCTCTTTCTTTAAATTCAAAATCGTAAGCCTAAATCAAAGGAAGCCCTCATCTATGATCATATGCCTTCTTCACGTCTAGCTTACATAGTACTCCCTCCCTCTTTCTGAAAATCAACTCATCTACCACTTTATTTACTATCAATGCGGCATCAAGGATTTGTCTACCTCCCAAAAAAACGTGTTGCCTTTCTCCAATCACCTTACCCAACACAGTTGTCATTCTCCTATCAAGAACTTTAGCAATCAACTTGTAGACACAACTCACCAAACTAATAGGTCTAAAGTTTCTGATGTTATTGACTCCACTAATCTTAGCAATAAGCGGCAGGAAAGAAGAATTGAGAGTTCTTACAAATTTTTCTACTTCATAGAATTCATGGAACACATCAATAATATCTGTCTTTATGACTAAACAAAACTCCTGCACAAAACCCATGTTAAAACCATCCGGTCTAGGAGTCTTGTCGCCTTTACCAATCGTAAGACACTCATAGATCTCTTTCTCTGAAGCCTTCTCCAATTCCTCCCTACTAGAATCATACAAGATCCTGAAATGCAATCCATCCAATTCTAGTCTCTTGCTCATCTCCTCTTGATATAATCCATTGAAGTACTCCTTTGTCACTTTTTAAAGCTGCTCATTACCTTTAACCAACCTATCATCAATCTCCATGGACTCCACATAGTTGAGTCTTCGGTATTGATTAGCCATACAATGGAAAAACTTCTTATTCTGATTTCCCTATTTAACCCACATAGTCCTCGACTTCTGCTTCCAAGCAATCTCCTACAATACCTCAACACGTTTGGAAAAAAGCCATAAAAATATATGGACTTTGTGCTTATCAATACCAAATGCCCAAATAGCTCCTTAACTTCTATTGCTTATGATATTTTAATATTTTATTATTTATTAATTTATTATTTAGTTAAAATGATGTAATTAGAATTCTACTAAAACAGTAGTCTCATATAATTATAATTCTAGTAGAGTAATAATTTCCTTATTAATAGGTTAAGAATTCAATAGAAGTCCCAGGTGTAACAACTTAAATGGTGAAAAATAAAATTTATATTTTTTTTCCAAAATCAACATGGTATCAGAGCCAAATAAAGTTATTTTAAAGTTTCAATTTTAAGATTTCTTTCAAACCTTAAAATAGCACAATAAGTTGGGTTGATACTCATTTATCCAGATCTACTCTTATCACCACCATAAATAGTGTCGTAGACACATCGGTAGCTTTCCCCGACTCCGCTAGCCGCCAGCAATAGAGAAGCGTCACTACACGCGCCAGCACCGACAACCACACGCCGACACCTAATGTCACCGAGAATAGCGCTTGAACACGCTGGAACAGACAGAAAACACCAAAGATCTAATCAAGGCCCCTTCGTGCGTAGATTTGACTCCTTTCATGGCCTCCGCACATTGATCGTTTGCAAATCACGCAAGGCCATGCGTCTTCTCCGATCGTCAGTTCAGATTTCGACCACCCGCAGAGCCAATTCCTCTCTAGTCGCACAGATTCACGCCAGGAACAGATCTCTGCGTGATTTGCTGCTTCAAATCTAATTTCGTGATACCGGTGCTAATCTCGCTTTTCCGTACGTGAGATGCTCCGACTAGTCTTTTCTTATCCTTTTTCCGACTCCTCAACGTGCGTCTGCCTATGGTTCCGCAATTCCGGCGCTCATCTGTTTTTTGCGCGCGAGCTGCTCTGACCAGCCTTTTCTGATCTTCTTTCTAGCTCTTTTGTGCGCGTCGGTCTCTGGTTTCACGAACCAACGCTTATCAAGCTTTTTGCGCACAAGCCACTCCGATCAGCCTTATCTAGTTCTTTTTCTGCCTTCTTCGCAATGCGCGCCTTTGCTTTCGCAATTCGGTGCCAATTCGGCGAACGAGCCGTTCCAACCAGCCTTTTCTGATCCTTTTTTTGGCTATTCCACATGCATCTGCCGCTAGTTTGCAACTTGATTTGCAAGTTGAACATACGTGATATCGATGCACAAATTTGAGATGGGGTGTTGACTTTGATATTTTATTATTTTATTATTTAATTAGTTAAGATGATGTAACAGAATTTTACTATAATAGTAAGCTCATGTAATTAAAATTCTAATAAAATAGTAATTTTCTATTAATAGGTTAAGAATTCTATAAATATTCAAGATGTAACGACTAAAAGGGTGATAAATAAAATTTATATTTTTTCTCCAAAATCAACTTCCTTCTCCTAGAAGGGTCTCTCCAACTATAATACTCCAAAAAAAAAAACTCTTAAATTCAGATTCCATAGATCTAGTCGATTTGGTCTGGTCCCATCCGAACCAACCTCGGAACTCAGAGCAATCGGCATGTTTTGGACATTAGAATGGGGAGAGGGGAATTACCCAATATCATGAATAGTTAGACTCCAAAGAAAACCTCCAAAGTTATTTAGCCAAACGAGACATATTTTTACAAAAAAGATTACCAAATACCAAGAACCCCATCAAACTTGAATAAACAATATCTCTTCCAATTGATTACATGTTCTCGCAAGGAATCACTCACTAAACACCAAAGGAAGTTCCTCATCACCCTTTCAATTCTCTCTATCACATCTTTTAAGTATTGAAAGATAGTAAGATAATAGAGTCGAATGCTAGACAAGCAAGACTAATAATGGAAACTCCCATGGAAAAAAGATCACCCTTATAGTGATCCAAGAGCTTAGAGACCCCACACATAGCAAGGTCCCAAAAATACCTATTACTATTTGATTCTCAAAAAATGATCAGTTAGTAATTGCACATGGATGCAAGTTTTATATAACAACAATCATGTCATATTTTACTAAATATTCATGTTGTCATAAGTCCTTCTAACAATATATCATTCACATGAAGTTAAAGAAATAAGGAACGGTAGCATGAGAATATGGAAGATATAAAATTTAAATGAGCAAATAGTCTGATGGTATGCTTTTGTTGCTAAATATTCTTCAGCCTTTTACAATCTCTTCACAACCTGATAGAAGAATTTGATATTTTGATTCTTTGAGTGTATACAATTGCAAGTCTCTCATCATCTAGCTTACCCATAATTCTAGCTGCCACAATGAGACTTCATAATGCATTTTGAAAAGCTGAATACCTCTCTAAATTTAAGGTTTTTATCCAAACTGCTATTTTGTATTTTGAAAAGGCTCCACACAAATGATTAGTAATAACTCTGCAGATCCAATCGTGCTTTTTCTTTGCACGTGTACGTTTTATGTTTTAGGAAGGTCAAGTTCCATTGTCATGTTTTTTGCTTATAATAAGGTGGCTTTGAGACTTTGGTCTAGGCTTTTTGATACTTTTGAAACATTTGGGTTACACTCCCCTCCTTCGAGTGTTTCCTCTCTACATCCTTCAAGATAAGTGGGGGGAGGCATAAGCTAAATTGCTTAGAGATGAACCTTATTCAGTAGCCTAAGTGTCGTGGTTGGGCACAATGCTAGACTTTTCAAAGATCATCAATTTCCTCCTTAACTTTGGGATGGATTGATTTCCTCTACCTCCTCATGGGCCAAGGCTTTTAAGGATGTTCCTTTGGCTATTAAATAGAAGGATTCAGATGCACCGTTGTTTTGATTTCTGTACTTCTTCTCTTTTTTATGCTTTTCATTAGGTTAGGAATTTTCTTATTATATGTTGTTGTACTTTCTTCTTATCTATCTAATGATACTTTTTTGTTCATCAAAAAATAGTGTAGACAAGGTATTCAAAAAAGAAACTAAAAATGGTCTATTACAATCAATTAGTACCTATACTTCGACAATAAAGGATCGTCCATCATTTCTCTTAGTAAAACCCCATCAGTGAGAAATTTTATCATAGTTACAGCCTGCACTACCAAAAATGAGAAAACTCTTAGCTTAGTAACAAGGAAACTACAAGCATAATAAGTGAGAATACATAAAATATTTCTTTACACAGAGAATGAAAGAGCATATTTAATTGAATAAGAGACTTATATATATAGGTTTACATGAACAATAAAAGGAAATATATTTAATTAAAATGAAAGGAGTATATTACTAATATACCATTTACCCTACTTAATATACACTTTATACTTTCTCAACACTCTCCCTCAAATTAATGAATAGATATTCTCTATGTCAATCCAGAATCACTTAATTCTTTGGTCAATATATCGCAATTCGGAAAGCAGTAGACACATATAAAGTGCTTACTCCACTATCTAATTTTTTCTTGATGAAATATAGACATATTAATCCACTCTCCAATTTTTTCTTGAATGAAATATTTATATACTTCAATATGTTTAATTCTGTCACGTTGCACTGGATTGTGAGATGCTAATTACCGAATTATTGTCACAGTACAATCTCATAGGTCCATCCCATTGAACTTTCAAGTCTTTTAAAATCATTTTTCAACTATAGAAATTTATGCACCCCTTGAGTTATAGCCATAAGCTCTAATTTCACACTAGACTGAACTACCATATTTTACTTTTTATTTCTCCAATTCACTAGATTTCCTTCAACAACAGTGCAATATTCAGAAGTAAATCTTCCATCAACTCTTGATCCTCCATAGTTAACATCAGTGTATTCTTCAACAAATAGTTAATTGTTTCTTTTAAACACAATTCCCTTCCCAGGAGTACCTTTCAAGTAGTGAAGTATCCTGTAGATAGTTTGCAGATACACTTCCTTAGATTGTGCATGAATTGCCTCACTATACTGACTGCATACGCGATGTCTGGTCTAGTATGTGACAAGTATATTAAGTTCCCCACCAATCTTTGGCACATTTCCTTGTATGCATTAGGGTCTTCTTCTGGGAATTCCAGTTTATGAAAGGGATCGATTAGTGTGCTACCAAATTTGCATGCTAATTTGCCAGTTTCTTTTACAAAGTCTATAATATACTTTTACTGTGAGATGAATATTCTAAACTTTGAGTAAACCACTTCTACTCTGAGCAAATATTTTAATTTCTCCAATTTGTTAATCTTGAACTTTCTAATCAGGTATTACTTGAGAACTACATTTTCTCCTTCATCATTTGCTGACTCTAAATGTTTAATGAATAAGGTATAATCTCTTTGACTTTGTTTATACCTCGTGCAAACTATTGCAATACCAATTGCAGTGAACAACTAAGAACAATAGGATATGAATCATAATTATCTTCAGATTAGGTGCAAATGTCTCTTAATAGTCAATCTTATAAGTCTAAGTATACTCTTTGACTACCAATCTTGCCTTATACTCCTCTATGGTTCTATCAGACTTGTAATTGATAGTGAACACCCACTTGCACCCAACAAATCTCTTTCCCTTATGTAAGTTTACTATTTTCTATGTTTACGTTATTTTAAGTGCCTGCATTTCAACACTCGTAATATTTTTCCATTTTTTACAGTTTAAAGCTCATATAATATTTTTGGGATAAATACTCATTTAAACTTATGCGAAAATTCTTATGCAATTGTGAGGATTTTTCAAAAAAAAAAATTGAGATTAGGTAAAGTGGATACTTAGAGCATTCTCTTGTCCTTTTTCTAAGTGTAATAAGCATATCAACATCAGAAGGAATGTGATTCTCAATGCTTATCTCATTTTCCAACACTCGATTTGGATCCTTGAACTTACTTCAAATTAGAGTCCAAGGCTTTTCCTTCTCGAATACACCTAGAAGAAGCACAGGTCTTGTATGGGTTGAGTAGGACTTGAGGCTCAAGATCATTTTATGGACTATGGTTTTCTACTAGGATGATTGTTTAAAAAGTACAATGTTTGAGTGTAAGAGAGAAATGTCAAAAAATGAAGCACCCTTACTTTCTAGTACAGTTTGCCATTGAAGATAACGGTGATGAAAGAACTCAGTCTCAACAAAAGTAACACCACCGGACACGTAAAACTTTTGGATAGACGGATGTTAACATTTGTACCATTTTTGTTAGCATGTGTTGCTGAATATTCCACAAAGACACACTTGATGGCTCTAAGGTCAAGTTTTCCTTCTTGAAACTAATGTACGTGAACATAAGTAACGCACCAAAAGACACAATGATGAGGTTATTGGTGACTTGGATCTCAGGCAAGAACATAGCTAGAACCTCTATAAAACTGCAAAAGTCTAGTACCCTAGATTGTAATCAATTGATAAGATAGATAACAGTTAACACAACTTCACCCCAGTAATATTTCAGTATATGGTTTTGAACGTGTAATGGTGAGCAAGTGAATATTTTTCCTTTTAATTACATTTTATTTTGGAGTATAGACACAAGAAAACTCATGGACAATTCCTTCCCTTCAAGAAAAAGAGGATAATGTCTGCTTAAAGTAGTATTTGACATTAGAAAATTATTTTAACTGTTACTCCAAACTGTGTTTTGATCATAGTGTGGAGCTGGAGAATAATATAACTAAACTTAGTTTTAGATGTCAATAAGAAAAGCCAAGTTAACCGTATATAATCATCAATAGAAAAACAAACCAACGAATCCCATAAATAATAGGTACATTTAAAGGATCCCAAATATCACTATAGATTAATTGAGAAATTGCTTCTTCTATGACTAAAGGCAAAAATTACACGTCTATGTTTTACCAGTTCAAATATATTGCAGATTAAGTTTGGATTATTATAATTGAAAAATAAAGAGGGAAACAAAACCTTAAAAGTAGAGAAAGACGGATGTTCTAGTCTTTTCTAGTCTTATCTAATACGCCGATAGAGAGAGCAGCTCGTGGTATTTCAGACATATCCAGGTAGTACAATCCCTACCGAGTCTCAGCATGTCCAATTGTTCTCCCCAAACTTCGTCCTAAATATCCCCGAATTCATATGAAAGTGTGTGTTTTATTGAATATGAGGAACCTATATATACAGCTCTCGATCAGCAATAAAAGGAAATACATTTAATTACAGCAAGAGGGGTATATAACTAATATACCCTTTACCTACTTAATAAACACTTCACACTTCTCAACACTTTAGTTTACAGCAAGGAAGAAAAATCCACATTTTCAACTATCCTAATCCAAGGTAAAAATGATCCAATGGTAATATAAACTACAAGGTTAAAAAAGAAATAGGAAATCTCACTGGATTAGTAAGATCTTCAAATCGAATTGTGTAGCCAACTTCCTCTCCAAGCTTGACCCCCATTTCTTCAGCTACTCTAGAAGCAACTGACTGGTCATGAGAAATACATGAAGCTTGTAAGCAATATAGGATACAGAACCACAAGATTTACTTGAGCATTGAGACTTTATAAATCTACAAACAAATCTAAAAAGGGAACTAAAACTACATTTGCAATCAGCTAAAAAAATTAAGGCAGATTCTTTCCAGTCATGAAATACTAAGAGAGGATTATAAAGGAAATATAGAATCTGAAATATGAAGCATTCCTTTCCTTCAAGGGGGAAAGGTAAAGCATTCATAGAGTATGACATTGCATAAGAACAAGTACTTTTTTTAAACAATGCATAAGAACAAATAATAAGGAGATGCTCCAATAAGGAGTATTAGTAAAGCAGCGGCAAGTGTTTAGATTTCCATCATCTTTGAGCTTGAAATTTGGGGGAGAAGCTGACTGGACCCCTCTGAAATAAAGGAAGGGACAGTGTCCACCACCTCCGAGCAGTGGCTGGAGATCACTTTGGCCTACAGTTGTTGTCTTCCCTCTCTTGCTCGTGGCTATTTTAGAATTTTGGGTTTTCTTTCTTTTTCCTTTTTCAGCTTTATGAATAAAGAGTGACCAGGGTGTTTTTAAAAGCAAAGCTTGTGTTTTAGGAAGCAAGTTTTTGAGTAAACAAGGGAAGCGTACAAATTAGATTCAGGCTTTAATACCAAATGATATAGAACAATGAGAACTTGAAGATAAAACTTACAGAAATTTTATTAAGAACCAAACTTTGAAATCTTAGATCTTAGTAATTAAAGCAATATCCTTTTTTTTTAAATAAAAAACAATGTCTTAATATATGAATAACAATTATGAGCAGTTTACTTAATAACTAAGCTAAAGTACCAAAATTAGGGGCACCAAATAAAATTAAAAATAAAAATTTTAAAAAATCTAATGAATAAGAAAATGAACTAAACAGAAAAAACTAAGAAAATACTTAGGAAAAGAAACTAAATCTTCATACTTCTCTTCATTGTAAATTTAACAAAACTTTTATATTTACTAGAAAAGCAAATTAAATCTTCCTAGTCATTTTAGCATAAAACTTCCTAAAACATTTATTTTCTTTCATTAATTCTGCATTATTCCTCGATTATTGAAATATGTCCACTTAAAAAAAATTTTGTTCTGCATCACCATCTTATGGCCCAAAGCTCACGGGAATTATTCCGACTTCGCAATTCCTGAGCATCATAAGAATTGGAAGGTGGTCATTTAATCTCCATGGGCAGTTTGGACTATTTCCGTTTTTCTGTCATTGTTTTTTCCATTGATATTCTTTGAGGAAGATGCCTTATTCTCTAGATATGTATTCTTTCTTCTGACTTCCTAATAATACTTCTTTTTCTACCAAAGAAAAACAAAAACAAAAACAGAACCACATTATTAACATTGTATTTTCCTGTTGAAAAGAGTTCTGTCCACGTGCCAATGGTAAATAAAAACAATTTGATAAAAAGTTCTCTATATGAAACTTCAATCTCAATGAAGGTAACTATGTTCTTTTTAAATTGAATGAAGGTAAAATATATAGATTAGTTGCAAACTACACATAAAAAATGAGCTATGAACTAAATGCCCAACGACAATGGGACCAGATGTAGATGCCAGACCAGATGAAGATGAATGGCACATTAAGAACAAGCTCAAGTGAAACTAAGTACCTGGACAGCTAGTCTTCTTGGCTGGGTACAAGCCACAACATGCCCCCCATCTGCCCAGCCCGCTTCTTTGAGGTACTGAAACTCCACAAACACCAATCATCATCTTAACTGATTGATATTAATCCATCCAAAATTTTAAATAAACACATCTTGTCTTCATATTTCACCTCCAGCTTAAACATAGAAGTTTATGAATAAGCACGTGAAATACAATAAAAGTTCAAGGAGCTGATCTTTCTTGCTCTTTCGCATTTCATCATTAGAATTTTTTTAAAAAAAACTTCCTACATATCAGCAAACCAACCTAGAAACTTTCTTCTCTAGCTAAAATATTGCCTGCTGATAGGAAAATATCAAAGTCAAAGGCACTTAATTCTTATAACTCCCCATTCCTTTAGTCCCTAAGCAAGTGTAATAAACACTCACTTATTATGTTCTCGGAACAAATGAATTCCACAAAAAATCTTCTTTTTTGTAATAGAAAAAGAAGTTTTATTAAGAAAGAGAATAATAGTACAAAAAACCACCAAATAAGTCATCCACCTGAGACACAAAGTAAAATGAAACAGAACAATATAGTAGAAGCCGGCAGCTTGTCACATGATCAAAGGCATCCCAACTCCTATGGAGGACCACTTAGGGCATCTTCGAGAAACTCCCATGAGCCTTAGCCCAGAGAAGTGCCAAGAAGGCCATCTTCTTCTAATGGAAACCAAAATTTTAGTTTTATGCTTGGGTTATTTCAAAAATAAAATTAAAAAAAATAAATCAGTTTCAAATAAATTCAAAATATAATTGAAGGTTACAACCCTTTTGTCATAATTGGCAAAATCTTTGGAAAAAAATGTGATGGTTCAAAAGAAAACTATAAATCATAATTATATATCTTGAATTAGAAATGAAAATCACTATCAGTGCACCACCAATACCTTTTCTAGAGAAAAAGAAGTATCATTAAGAGGCACCAAGATGGGGCATCCTAGATACAAAAGATCTATAAAAAAGTTAGAAACCAAAGAATCAATAAGTTTCTGTAAATCCCAATCATGCAAAATGCCATTCCCTATCAACAGATTACTCAAGGCTTGAAACTAAAAGTCTCCATCCTATCAAAACGAGAGCATATGCCCCTAATACTTCTCATTTCATTCTTCTTAAATGACCACATTATAGAGATTGGAATAAGCTCTTCTACTTTCTTTCAAGATATACACGCCTCAATGCCTGATGAAGCCCACAACTTTTGCTCATGACTCTAAAACTAAGTGCCCAGAAGATGCTACAATTTTGAAACATTTTATTAAAAAAGATCGAGTTTATGATTTTCTTGCAGGTTTCAATAGTGAATTTAATCTAGTCAAGATCTAGATTTTTGGCAAAGAAAAGTACCAATTCTAAATGAGACTATTTCTTTAATTGGAGCCTAGAAAAGATGTAGGAGGTTATGTTTGAATCCTCAGTCCTAGATGGTTAAGCAATAACTTTTTTTGAAATAAAATGTATAGTATGTATTCATTAATTACAAGCACCAATGAAGTGTCAACTCACGTACAAAAGATATTTACATGTCAACCAGAATATCGATAAGGTTACCTAAATCCTCCATAGAATCCAAAGAGTAACCCATGACCAAAAACTCTAAGGTCTGAAACCATTTAACTCTATCAAAATCCTTTTTCGCCCTTTCAAAAGTCTTTCTATTTCTTTCTTTCTGGACCACCCAAAAGATTGTAAAAGGAATAAGACTCAAATATTCTTTTCTACCATTGACACTTGTCCAAGCCTATATCTCCTCCCTTATATTACCCGACATTCCCAGTTGATTCCCAATAATCGCCATACTCCATAATTTATATGCTAGGGGACATCGTAGCAAAATATGGTTGCAAGTCTCCTCCATCCTCTTGCAAAGGAAGCAACCATTCACCAAAATCTTTCCGCTTCTCATCAATTTGCCAATGGTCAAAATACATCCACACCCTGCGTCCCAAGAAAAGAAAGTAATTCTAGGGGGAGCATTCACTTTCCACATTTCTCATAAAGGGGACTTGTTCTCCAATGAGTCATTCTTGACCAAATATTTATAGAGTTGTCCAATCGTAAAAGTCTCTATTGGGTTGAGGACCCAAGTTGGTTCCTGAGGATCTTAGTTCTGTCATAATATTTTCCTATATTCTTATTTTGTCATTATTACTTAACTTAGAAGATGAAGCAAATAATGACAAAAATATGACAACTAGCAATATAGGAAGATATGATAACATAATCAAGATACTCAGGATCGGACGGTAAGGATTATCTCTTGTGTACCTATTGCAAAAAACTGAGGTATATTAAAGGTATTGAAACTTGAATGATAAGCCATCTAATAGAGAGGAGAGCCACTAATGAAAACACCAGACATTTATTGTTTCGTCAGCTGCGTAACTTATCCGCCAGTCTCTTTGTACTCTCCTTTCTCTCATCAATAATATTTCCGTTGTTTATAAAAAATGAAACCACTAGAACAATTAAGACCAAGTCGACTTCATAATAAAGCAACCAACTTAAGAAATATCTCAAGGCCAGAGTTCAATAAGGAGGAGACCAAGAAAATATGAGGCCTTTAGGAATCATAAGAAGAGGCTAGTGGAACATGCTCTCTTGCACTCTCACAAAAGTTTTCTATTTCTCAAGAGTTAATTTTCTCAAATAACTTAGTAGGAACCTATGGATTATTGGCACAAAGTCACAAATCATGTGATCCATTCTTCATCAAATTTTATCATTTTATCCTCTAGCCAAGAAATCAAAAGATAACAGTTTCACATAACTCTCCCATTATTCTAGCCAATATATAAGATATTCATACCAATTCATCCCTTTTATTAAAAAAATTTCTCTATGTCCCTAAATTATCCACCAATCTTGTAAGCATACAAAACTTACTCATTGTTATGAATTGTAATTTACTTCTCTATCCTTGTTACTATTTAATTCAAAAGGATTATAAGCTTGATATGGAGACAGCGTATGATCATGTAAGTTGGGAGTTTGTGTACTACATGTTAGAGATGTTGGGCTTTGGGATAAAGTGGAAAGGATGGATCTCAGATTGTATGACTCCTATTTCATTTTGTTGTTATAGTGAATGGTCGGGCATCTACCTTTTTTCAGGCATCGAGAGGGTTGAGATAGAAAAATCCACTATTGCCTTTATTGTTCATTGTTGTCATAGAAGCTTTGAATAGAATGTTAATAAAAACTAGAGCTTGTTCATTATTCAGTGGCTTAAGGGTTGAGGTTGGTGGAGATTTTGAGAAGATCATTCACATGTTTTTGCAAATGACGTTTTAACGTCTTGTGAGCCTATAAAAAGTTCACTACTCAATATTAGATATATTCTTATGGGATTTCAAACTATGTCATCTCAATATTAATTTATCTAACTCTGAAATAGTGAGATTGGGGAATAAAGATGACTCAGAAAAACTGCGGCTTCCCCTTGGTGCCAGTTTTAAAGAGGCGAGGACATGGGAAACGATTATGGATCGGTGTGAAAAGAGACTAGCAAGCTGGAAGAGAGGGTTATTTTCAAAGGCTCACTTTGATCAAAAGCATATTGAGCAATCTCCCAATATATTTCATGTCGTTATTGACCTTACTAGTGAATGTTGCTGAGAGATTAGAGACCATTCAGTGCAGATTTCCATGGGGAGACATGAAGGGTGGTCACAGGAAGTATCACTTGGTTCCACGGAGTGAGATTAAGAAGCTAGTCACACTTGAGGGGATTGGGTATTCGGTCTGTTATTGAGGTGAATGAGACTCAGCAAGGGAATTGGTTATGGAGATTCTCGATGGAAAGGGATGTCTTATGGAGAAAGGTTGTTGCTGCAAAGTATAGTATGGATGAAAAAGGCTGGTTCACTAGATTGAGTTCGAGACCGCACGACAAAAGCCTATGGAAAAAGATTAGCAAAGGCACAACTAACTTTCAGAGGAATATCAGGTGGAAGGTAGGGAAGGGGGATAGGATAAGATTATAGGAGGACGTGTGGTTTGAGGGTGGTACACCCAGGCAGGTTTATGCAATTGTTCAACAGATTGAGGTTAAAATGTAGTTGTGAGGAGCGGAAAAAACAGTGAGTGTCAGATATTAGTGCAAAGACATTGGAACTGGGAGATTGGGGAGTATGAATGCTTACTCAGAACTCTTGCACACGTCTCTCCAGAGGATAGCAATGATACCCTAGAGTAGTGTCTAACAAAAAAATAGGATCTTCACTGTCAAATCTTTTTATAGACAACTACGTAATCACGAAGGCAATAATCTCTCTCTACCATAGAGACATAGTGGAAAGGAAATGTTCCATCTCGTATCTCCTTTCTTATTTGGGAAGCGAGTAGGGATGCATCTTGACTACAGAAAAATTATGAAGAGGGACAAGATTTTGGTTAATGCATATTATTTTTACAAGAAGGCTGAGGAAAGTTGCAATCATATTCTACTTTGGTGCCTAGTGGTTCACAGGCTTTGGTCTATCGTCCAGAACACTCTTCGAATCAGCTGGGTGGTTTCTGGTTCTGTCAAAAACAAGATTTGAGCTTGGAAGGGGATGGGGAGTAAGAGAAAACATGTTGAGATGATACAGCTTACTATTTTTTGAGTTGTGTGAAAAAAGAGAAACAAGAAAGCTTTTGAGGGAGTAAAGGATACAAATGGTTACAGCTTACTAAAGAATAGATGGTTCCAAACCTTTACATTTTTATTGATGGGTCACTCCATTCAATCTTCAGGGAGTTAGGGAGCATACTAGATAACATAATTGAATTGTAAATTTTTTGTAAATGGGTTAGTATCCCCTTGGTACCATTATTAATACATACTTATATTTTTTATTTAAAAATAATAATTCAGGAGGATTGTTCAAGGAAGAGAATTGAGCTTGCTAGGGAACAAAATAGGTTATGCTATCTTTAAGTATCAAGCAAATCCAATCCAAAGCAAGTGACTAAGTTTGCCCTTGCCTTTACAGAACACCTGGTACATTCTCAAGGACGTTCATTAGCCTAATAGGATTTTAATCTGTTAAAGAAACTATATGGTATGTCAATTAAGTTGCAAAAGTCTACAGTGACCTTGAGGTGAGGAGTTGACCGTGATTGACCAGAAGTCTTGAGGAACCTCAATGATTGAAAAATTAATGAATACAAGTCACTTTTGAGCTCTTTTGCCTCGTCTTCCTTGATGAGAACTATGATCAACCGGTTTGATCCCTTAGTGAAACAGGAAACTTCACAATTGGATCTTTTTTATAGACGTTTAACCAAAACCGAAGATACTAAGAACAATTTCCCATTCAGGCAAATTTGGAAGGTAAATGCACCTCCCAGTGTCATTTTTTTCACTTGGGAAGCAATCTGTACATGTATTATAAATAGACAAGATGATGAGAAAGGAAAAGGTCATGGTAAATTGGTGTTGCTTATGTAAGAGAGCGAAAGAGACCTGTGATCATATGTTACTTCAGTGCCCCATAGTGTATAGTTTATAACCAATGGCATATGAATATTGGGGTATAGTAGGGCTATACCAGATAGCGTAAGAGATGAAATGTGAGCATGGAAGGGCATCAGTAGTCAAAAAAAACAATTGGGGCTCATAGCACTAACAATATTTTAAGTTATATAGAAAGAAAGAAATAGGAAAATGTTCGATGAGAAAGAGGATATTGATAAGAT